CCCAATGTCTTCGCATTTTCTTCCTCTTTTTCCAAAATTATCTGTGCCAATCTTTATTATCTTCTACAATATTTGTTGCTGTTGATCTTATTTAGAATTTATTACCTATTATTTTTCCTATGTATGATGTGAGGGTTATTGATCTTAATATTTTTTTGCCAGGCTTGTCTAACAGGGAAGAGTGTCCACGTTCTTATTTTGTTACTGTGTATTTATATTCACTAATCTTATATCTGTTTCATTACTTACTAGCTTTCTCAAGCTAAACACTTTTAATAATGGCTGACTTTTGACTACCTTACGCTTCAACCTCTCTGTTCTTTTTTAACGATGTTTATCTTCTCTTCAACAAGAAGATTGACTTTATTTGACATTCCATAGGTAGTTTTTTAGTGGTCGACTCCCTCGTCCATCTCCATTCAGGCGACGCTGACGCCAGTCAACAAGGATTTTTCTTTACCATGGTTTGTTCTATTCATAGAGGCCGTGTTTCTACAAAATTGTTACCCCTTGAGGAAGGAAATTCCACTCTTGGATATTGCACTTTTCAAACTTTCTATGACCCTTTTTCATGACAAATCAAAATAAATTACGAGTCACATACATCATGCGTTTCCTGGGCATCCCCACCTCCCCATGGAAGTCTCCTATCGCATTTTGCTTTGCACTGAAGTGCGGTGCGTGCTCACATCCCGCGCACAAGACGCAAAATACCAGGATAACATAAATGAACCACCTTTCTCCTCTCTTGATTCGCGCGGGTTGTCTCATTTAGCCCCTCCTTGGACCAGGATACCACGTTCAGCGAGGAAGCTCCTTCAGCGTGGCTACTTCCTTTCTCGACGCACAGCGACTTCTGCATTATTAACTGTTCAGATTTCATACGAAATAAAATGCAATACGACACTCAATATTACCAACTAATACTTATTCATTACATACGATATTCCAATATGTGAAACCTATAACATCAAGATTCCTATGAGTCAAGTGTCTTTAAGAGTCGCTATGAAAAGTGTAGAAACAAATGACAGAGTTTTGTTTTCTACAATATATTAAACAAGGAAGTCGTGTCCGATTTGAAATTTTTCAAAGTTGCACGACTATTACTGTCATTGTTATTTGTTGAATAAAGTCTCGACTACGAACAGACGAGTAGTTCTTCACAATTTGTATAAGCTGATTATAAATGTGATCAGTCATCAGATGGTGAAAGTGCATCAACTAGAAATGCAAGAGTTCGAGTTCGATGAAAACGATATATCTGAAGATCGAAGATTGAAGATGCTAATTGATAAATAATACCAATGTACCTACTATAAGTATGAATTATTTCATAGTGTGTAATGATAGTCTTTTGTATACTTGAAAATAAAAATGTAAACGTAATCCAATGTCTTCTTACTAGTAGTATGAGTCGCTCTATGAGCGACTATTATGGTATAAGTGTAGTAACCGTGAGGGGCTCGAGCGACCATGGATATGGATTAGTGAAATGACTCCGATACAGGAGTGTGAATCAGAGGGCTTACAGTGCCCTGTGATTTTATTATTACACCTTAGTGTAAGATATATTAAACCCAATACTTGTATTTCCTATAAACACAAAACAGATTATTATATGTAATCTTTTTTAATGCCTGACTTTTTCACAGTACTTACGTGTTCCCATTTATATTTTATTTAATGTACACTTTGACCACTAGTGACAGAATTCCATTTTTAATCAATATCATTTAATATTGCAGAAAAAGTTAGGCATGTAAGCCTCATCGGCAGCCTTATCTGCCGTCGACTTAATTCAACTTCGGGTAGAGTCATGCTTCCCTACTACAATGCACCAACTGATTGAGCCTAAATGATTCTGATTGCTAATCATTAAACTCGACATCTCTGCGCATGTATACCCAAATATATTAGATGATTCATGATCAATCTGACAAATAATCTCAGAGGTAACAATAAAGAAATTGTGGTATTAATGTTGTACCCAAAATCCTTAAAGTGATTTCATGCCAAAAAGAGCGCGAATCATGATGACGGTGACTGTCATCGTTGGATAAATTGAACTGGAACAGTTATGTATACGAATAACTGCAATCGCGTATACTCTAAATTTCTAATATTACACGAAACTGTGATTGTATGTTATCAGTGATACTCCAGTTGACGGTAAATGGCATAATGCCTGAAATAGAACCGAGAATAATTGAGATTGATCATTAACAGGAGCTGACTCGAGTCTTTCATACACACATGCAAAGTACTTGAGACACACCGACAGTATAGACATACTGCGTTCACTGTACGATCAATAATGGACTTTGATCCGCCGTTCGTCATCGTGGTTTATCTTTCGTCTACCATACGTTGTATGCAGAAAGCGAAGGGTATATGCTAATTTACGCGCAGCCTCCGGTATCTAGTTAGCAGATAGAATGGACATAATCAACAATTTAACCGACTAGGGAGCGGGAACGCATAAACGAAGGTAGACATCCGCTGTGATCAGCGTCTACTTCCACGCAATTCATGATAGCCGCGGATTGGAAAGACACAATTTTGAGGAAGAGCCGCGCGGGCCCTAAGCACCTCTGTGACGTAGCAATACGTTATTGGCCCTCAACGACCTCTTTCCATTGCTTATTGGTTCATTGACTCCGACATGGGCAGAAATTTCGGTAGGGCTACGGGTCTAGCGCGCCTCTGGCGATGGTAGGCTTCCTGCCACTTTGGAATGGCTCTCAATAACGCATTGTCCCATCGTTTCAACCTCACCTGTAAGGATTAAAGCGCAATCACGGGACAGTGACACTGTTTTTCCCCAAAATTGAAATTAATAATACGTCCTTGCACGTGTGCACAGATGGAACTCTTCGTAGATCCAATCTTTTCTTCGTTGTTCCCTATCGTCGTATGTCACAAACGCAATCCTCCCGCTGTTATTCGTAGATGGATCAAACCTTATTACGCTTTCCCCTAAAATTAACGTGCAGTTCTGTGAAAGAGTGGGGGAACCTGCCTTTCATATAGCTGAAGCTTCTATATACATACATTAGCCGGTGTGCTTGTACTCCAGCGCTTCTATCGGTGGCGTCATGAAATTACTTGGCTGCATGCGTTCCTGTTGAAAAAATTCCTCACGGGCGAAAGTCAAGGTATGACGGAATATCGCAACAGCCCCACCGCCTGGTTGCGAAGCGAGTACAGTGTCCGACCACTGGCTACCAGACATGCTAACGTTTACAACATGATAGCCTGGTGCTAGGAGGGGCTTTGTGAGACAACCCGCGCGAAACTCTTTTCAACGTAGGGAGAGATGCAGCTTCCTGCAGCGGTATGCTGCTCGGATATTTCAGTGCTTGCATGCGGGATGTGAGCACGCACCGCGTGCTTGTCCCTTAAAACATTGCATTGATTAATGACATGTTCAGAACGAAATTCTGGATTTTGCTTTCAAATTTCAAGGAGTACTGCATATAATCGGCATTAACATTGTTTGCTTAATCTCATTACTCTTCACAATTACGATTAAATGATTACTTTATCGATAAATGCGTGAAAAAGAGAAGTAAATATTTAAATCTACCATTAAGTTCACTGGTAGGTAGTTTACAGGCGGGTTTGCCGTATGTGCAAATGAGTTCTATTGTATTGGTACCTTATTTGTCGTTTTATATATATTCTACTGTCGATCAAAGTAGAATATAATAATAACCATCAAACGTTTTGTTTATTCGAATGTCTGCCTGGATAAATAAGCTTTTCTATATAAATCATAGATCCAACTTGAAGGAAAAAAGAAAGTATTCCATTCTATGAGGATCGATGTAATAAGGACTCCGTGGCGCAACGGTAGCGCGTCTGACTCCAGATCAGAAGGTTGCGTGTTCAAATCACGTCGGGGTCAATTTCATTTTTTTCTTTTGTAAATTTTTATAAATTGTAATTAATCCAATTTCAATTTGAGTTCCTTATTTCTCTTATGAAATCTGAAGTTTTAAACGTAGTTTTTAATCGTCGAAACTGCTAGTATTCTTGCTAGGATGAACAGTACTCTCAATGAGAAATGCTCAAGTTCGTAGAGAACTCGAGGTGCTTAGGCTTGGTTTATTTAAGTGCAGAACTGTCACTTTAATTATTGCATTGTCTATTGGGACCCACTGGCCTTCCTCTAGCTCGGGTACCTCGGGATCGCTAAGCCTGTACTGTAGCTGCCTATTCGCATGCTACAGCCCCTGAGGTTTGAAGAGAACTCGTTCCCCTTTGACCGCTAAATGTGGCGCCACCAACCAGTCTAACAGCTTTTCTGTTTTTCTTCAGACATATAGATAATGTTATCTAATTTGATAACACTCTGAAATGGTTTACGGTACTGTGACAAAAGCTTAATCTTTGCTAAAGCACACTGATCGTATTATTGTAAATTATAATTTGTTTGATTTTCAGAATTTAAAAAAGGTTAATCATAGCAGTCGTGGCCGAGTGGTTAAGGCGTCTGACTAGAAATCAGATTCCCTCTGGGAGCGTAGGTTCGAGTCCTACCGACTGCGAAAAGCCACATGACGTTGGCATTTCGTTTTTGCATGTATTACAATATATAAAATAATATCGATTCAGATATTCCATTTTATTTGTCACAAATGCTATACGTGGAATATTATTTTGGTGCGCAATTTTTGTGTACAAAGAAACATATGTTACAAGAAAGTGTAGTCTTCTACTTATACATAAAGAAAGACTGAATAAAAGTAATATAGTTAAGAAAATTATGATACCAAATTTGATTCCGTTTAAGTTCGAGTAACATTTGCACCGATTGTATTTAATAATTTAAAAACGTGGTCGAAGGCGCCGTGGCTTAGTTGGTTAAAGCGCCTGTCTAGTAAACAGGAGATCGGGGGTTCGAATCCCCCCGGGGCCTTGAGGATTTATTTTTATTAAATTTTAACAAGTTTTACGTAATAACGTTCATAACTATAACAACAGTTTCTGCAATATCAAAAGTAAAACAGTAATTATTTAAATATTATTTTTTTACGATATAAATAATAAATAAAAGCGAGTCATGTACAACGTGGTAAAATTAAAGCTATTCATACGACGTATATTGTTTATTATTTAAAAGTCGAATTTATAGCCATTTCCAGAAACTTTAACACGTGCTACCGACGGTGCAGAGGAGTACGCAATCCCTAATAAATTTTGAGGTTGTTGCTGTTCTTCCTGTTGCAATTCCACCTGTTCAGGGACCTACGGATGATTACTATTAAACAAAAACCAGATTTGAATTGTGTACAACACACAACTAACGGGGTCTTATAATTATTTATACTTTTACCTGTTGCGTTTGCGTAGCTTGTGCCTGTACTTGAGATTGTGCTTGAGCCTGTACTTGCGCTTGCCTTAGTGCGAGAAGTTGTGCCAATTGTGCTTGATAGTGACCAGCTGCGGAATAAGTTTGTTGGGGCTGTTGATATTGTTGTAACTGTTGATAATAAGCCAATGTAGCAGGATCTATGGGAGTTTGGTAAGGCAATGGCGCAGGTGCTGATGCTACAAATGCAGGTGGAACTGGTGCAGTTGCATAACCATTTGCAATAGGACCAACTGGAAATGTACCTACAAAATTACAGAACACAATGACAAGTGCACTTCACTTTTCTAGACACATATTTCAATCAAAGTTACGCAGAAACAAACCTAAGCCGGGATTTCTATAAGCAAGCGCGTTAGCAACATTGGGATAAACTTTTTGTGCTAAATAAGGATTTCCAATACTGGAACTGAATGACTGATGAGAGCTGGGGCCACTGAATGCGAATGCAGTTTGCGTTAAACCTGGTCTGATAAAATTGAAGGATGCGTGTTGATCAGAACTGCCTAGTAAATTCGTCGGTCTCACGCCTTGAACAGGTGGTTCGGCAGATGCCGTGAGAAGCATCATGCAGCAAAATACTAGATGTTTCTGAAAATATTAGCTTTTAATAAAATATATAAAGTGATCGACTAGCTGTAGATACATTAAAGTAAAAGGGTACTCCGTGTGATAGAGCTGACGGAAAAAATACTTACCAACATTTTGCAAACTTATGGTACACCTGAAAGTTTCTCAGTAGAACGAATGACAGTATTATCACCAGTGAACATTAACACACTATTCTGACGCTAAGTCAGCTTGTTGGGGAGTTATATATCGCGGAAGCAGCCAGGTTGATACGTGAGTAGCATCGCATCGACACATTTTCAGGCACACAATGACACTTTCTCCAAGATGGGACAATCCATGAATCGTAATCGCTTAATATAAAATGTCTTTCTTTACAGAAGATTTTCGTAATATACCGTGATATAAACAATAATTCGATAATTAACAAAATTAGAATGACGAATAAGTACAAATTCATCATGGTTTACCATATTTTCATTAAATACTGATACATCGTTGATAAAATTATTCGTTGTCGTACATAAAACTCGAATAAGCATTTTGTACAGAAATATATACAAGATAACATTATATTTTACCGCAGCGAGTATGTAAAAGGTAATGAAATATATCTATTCGATTCATCTAGATTCGTGGAACTAACGAGGAAAGTTGCTTTCGATCAGTCTAAATTGGAGTTGATACGCAGACGAGTTATTAATTGTAATCAGTTAGTCGTTCGTTGAATATTAAATAGGTTATTTATCGGCAGTGATACAATTTATTTATGTCTCGCACACATTCGAAAGCCTTACTTTATGTTCGACCATAAAACATCTGCGAATTTACTTCCGATACTATACGTTCAGTATTGACTTTTATATACCGTTATTACGTACAATACGTAATAACAAAAATCTTGCAGTCGTTCACTTTAAGTCTTCAAGTCCAAATAGTATTTATTCGTATTACAATCGTAGCACTTTTTATTGCTATTATTACAAATTTTAAAAGTTATTACGAACGCTCCTCTTAAACAACCAGTATTGTGCGTACCTTAACTTAGGTACTTTTTTAAGATAAATTATTTTCAAGACATGTTCGCCAAGTAGTCCAATGGTTTCCAAACCAGTTGTGAAATACGACGTAAATTTGTGCGTTGCGACATCGAACATTCTTTTCTGTGGTATCCTTTTACATACTAGAAAAGTATGACTGATAAAACATTCCCATAGCGGTAGTTGCAAATAACGCAAAACAACTCCACCATGTTGCTAAACCTAACAAACCTCTGTACACTTCTGTTGTAAAAATCTGCGAAACAACAAATGATATCATGAGTGCGTTTCGTAAAATTGTTCTTAGCGAATCCTTAGTGGAAATGATTAATAGTAGCGTTACCTGTTTTAAGGAACTCAACGCAAGCTGAAAATCTTGGGCTGTCTGGACAACAGTTTTTTCGGTATCGTCATTATTTATTGCATTTAGTACAGAATTGGGTGCTTCATCTGCTGGACACTCTTCAACTGCTGTCCCTTTTAGGAGACCTTGCCATGTATAACCGCCTAAACGTATAGATAGACAACACGTTAAAATAGCATTATTTGCAATGAATGGATTATTTGATCGACATTTTTTTTACCTAATGTTTTGTACATAAATGTGAAAAATAAGCATATAATAATTGGAACAACGAATTGCAACGCTACGACGCATAAATAATAAAATACGGCTGCAATCTGAAACAAGTCATGAAACAGACTTTACTGTCGATAATTTTTTTTATTTTCAACAAAATATACGTTGTAAATATTTTATACCTTTTTCTGTAAATCGACATTTTTAATTCTACCAGCTTCTTTCTTTTGATTTTCTAATCGTTGTACAGCTAAATTAAGGTACGATTGCAAGTACATTGGCATTAATATGAGTTTTAATAAGACTGCAACAACAATTGCAATTAACCTCATGCTTTCAAAACTTGGGGACGTCATTCTGCAATGATATATCTATGGCTTATAAAAAAACTTTTACCTATATATATTTTATTATACCCATAATTTAGCTTTCACTTACAATGGCCCATTCATACCAGTAAATATTCGAACTGTGAGGTAATCTCTGCTTATAGGCTTAATCCATAAGCATACTAATAGAAGCGGAGACGCGTAACTAAGATTCGCTATTAACACTAATAGCTTTTGATCTTTATAATATCTGAAATGTACTGTTTTCATTATCAGTTTATGATAGTCATAGCATTTTTAAAATGAATACAACATTCGTACCTCAATGCATCCCAATGCATTTTTGATACCCTCAATCCTGGGAAAGTAAAAAAAGAACCAAGCAAACCACACCACAAGGCAAGGAAGAACTTTAAAACAATTTTTGATGCAGGCCCTCTACAAAATGATGTACAAGAATAGAGGTACAAAATAAAAAAGAACTTTAAGATCTAAAGACTTACGTAGAAGAAAGACCTTGATTGTCTAGAAACAATGATGCACTATGATTGAAGCTAACATAGGCTTTGTCTAATCCAATTTCAAGGTTTTTTTCGTCAACTATAAGAATCACCATAGCTATGAGGAGATAAGCAAATCCGGTAACAATACACGTAGACCTTTCGCCGGTACTCTCCTTTCCTGTGAAATATTGTATCCACAGAGAAAGTAATACTTTGCTAGTTACTAATTAAGGAAGTTAAACTCAAAATACAAGATTTATTTTTAAGAAAAAGGATGCAGCTTTGTAATGTAGGTCAACAGTGAAAAGGATACAATGCAAAACCAAGAACCAATGAGCACCAAAGCATACTTAGATTAATCTCATCTTTGATTGGATAAAAGTGATTGTATACCTGTTTAGCACCAAAGAGACATAAGTATAAAATACAGTAAAGATACAGATATGAAGAAGAGATAACTACTATGGTCATTCGAACAAACCAGTACCAACCTCTGTCATTATATAAACTGCAGTTGCATAAACAGAAAAATCCAATAACCACTGATACTCTGTATAATATTTTAAATGCACAACATCCAACGTAGTTATTTTAGCACTCTCCAGTGTAATATCCAAATTTCTAGGAACATGAAATACATCACCAACTTTTCCATTTTCTGTATGCTTATTTTTCTTGGGTTTCTCCTTAGGTACACCCACCAGAGCTCTCAGTTGCTGGTCAGTTGGATACAAATAACGTGTTAACCTATAATAACAATTGCATGTTACATTAATTTTATGTTTCTCTTGGTCTTAATCACTCTTAATCCTATACATACCCGGTAGAGCATAAAATCCATCTTGCCAATGAAAAATGTGGAGTTAATTTCTGAATGATACTGACCATAATTAGAGTAATGACCAACTGAGCCCCCAAAAGAGCCTAAGACAATTTACATACAAATTTAGAATGGAACATTTAATGTTTACCTTTGTTCGTTACGTATTAGATGCAATTATATTCCGAAATATTACCATGGTTGAATTCGTTATAGAATTTAAAAATTACAGTAGATCCACCGGTCTCACGAAAATGAACATTCCATCACGGTATTCGTAATTCACAGAGACACACGGCAATTAATTATCTCGCATTTAACGCCGGTAATGCGTGGTCGCCCATTGTAAATGGCACACGATCGAAAGCTGGTTTTATAAATAGTTGTAACCCCGCGAAACCAAAAGCATCGTAACCCTTTGGATGGGATATGAGGTTGAGGTTATTTCCAGTTATTTCGAAACTATCTGTGGCACAGAGCAGTTTTTGTATGTTGCAAAGGAATCGTTGCTATGTTCACGGTGATAGCATGATACTCCTTAGAGAACGCATGCGCACTCGGAATCGAGATTTGAAAAACACCGAAACTTCGCCTCATTTTCAAACTGAATGTAAATAACGCATGCATATTATTTACTATTTACAAAAATTGCTACAAAAGCAGGGTCTTTAGAAGAAGAAGAAGAAGAAACATCAAAGATTAAAATGTAATCTACCCTAAGCAATAAGGAACTTTGATCAAAACGATCGAGACAATTGCATGTATGTAATTATATATTATTGGTGAATGGATATCATTTATCGTTACGCAGATATGTCATTATCATTATGTATAATTACTACATATCTACCAGTTGTATAATTCATAGTTTTGTACGTTTCATTGAAAAAAAAATTGAATGAATAGCTCTCATTTACAGAAAAAAATACTTAAAATTCTTGAATACAGTCATCCGGTATTTGGTAGAAAATTGGCAGGGAAATTCTGTAACTTATAATAGGCGAATATGATAGCAGTTTAAATAATTGTCGAATGATATGTACAATGCTTTATAATAAATAAATAAGTTATAACATTTCAATGGCAACTTGAAGTTAGTCTGTTTGCTATAAATAATAATGTAAAATTAAGTGTCATGTTTCGCGCGATTATCAAAGCTATTTATTGCCAACGACGAGCATTATCGAAGAAGTATGCGACATGGAGCCAGTTCCGACGAATTTTGCGGTTCTCCTCATAGTTGCGACAAGAAATTTTATTCCCTCAGCAAAACCACGTCTTAGCTGGCTCCTCGTGTAGTCAGAAATCGGCTCGAACCCCAGCCCTGAATAACAAATTTTGTATATTATTGTACAGCTAAAAGAATCTAAATGTAATTGTAGGAACTTACAGGTTGCTTGGTCCCGTATACGGTGGTGGACTTGGCCGAATGTACGGATTGCAACGTTCGTTGGATATCCTAAAGGAACAATCATCTTTCCAAAATTGGTGTCCATCGAGTGTCAATAAAATGATCTGAATAAATAACAGAGGATACCTAGGACTTGGCGATAGAGAATCGTTAGGGCTGGAAGGTCGTGCAGAGAGCGACTTTAGAGTTCCTCGTTCATTGGCAGCATACTGGACCATTTGTATGTTATTATTGCCGACTCCTTCTCCTGGAGTGGATTCCCTCTTCTCGCTACAAAAGAAGCAAAGTGAATTAAATACAGACTAAATTACTAATTATAAGCGATAATTTGTTTCTTTCTTTTTTGTTGCCTTACTAATAGTTTTTAAACTCTTTCTACGTTCTGGTAGCAAATTATATATTTTTTGTTTGCCGTGAAAACACGCAATTATGTAGTAAAATTGTTCGAAATTATCGAACCACGAATCATCATTGAATTGCACTCGTTAACGTTCTTACGTAGTTTCTTAAGCACCACTTGTTATCTCGCAACAGCAACAAGTCACCAAAGTGATTAGTACGAGTTAATGCCATCGTGTTGCGTGTAGTCGGCTGTATGCCTATCGGCGAGAAAAATGTTAAACTCGTCGAAAATACTATCAGAGATCGTTTCTATCGAGGAAAAATAGACACAGCTCTACTTTTATGCGCGCACAAAGTTAAGGTAGCGTCCGCGAGGGCGACAAAGAGAAAAGTAAAGCATACTTATTAAACATTGGTACGAACCGTGTTTCTTGATCATTCAAATAGATTCCATCCATTATCGTTAAAATGTTGTTTTTTTTTTTTTCAATGACTCACAACATCAATGACGCGCGTGTCCTATTCTTGGTTTATTTTTCACTTTACCCGCATTATGTGGTAGCCTAATGGCAATTACCTTGATCGCGTGTGTAGTTCACGAGCCGCGGCACCCTTGAACGGCAAGGTAATTTCATATCGGACATTTCATACGCCATCGTTTTTTGCAACGTATGACGTCCAATGAGAATCTAAACTCTGGTTAGAATCTCCTCGCGTCTGCACGCGCGCGTTTTTCGCCTCAAATATTTTTCTATAACAAGGGAAGCCTCTGTCGCCATGATAAAGGGGCTGATCTTTGGAAAGTAATACAAATATGAACCACTCCGGTATTTTAGAAAATTCTAAAAAAAAAAAGTACGACAGATCCTATATTTCCACGATATGCAAACTCGATTAAGATCAGACGTTGGAGTTGACAGCATGCCTTCGAGAAACGCGTGAAATCCGGTTTCCATTTTTCAAGATAAATTGCAGCTGTTCCCTTCCAAGAGAAACAGCAACATTTACGGATTATACTATGACCAGTTCTACGAACGCGATTACCTTCTTCGCCGCAACGACGCGGGTAATTGTAAATGAAGCTCGTGATCGAATCGACGCGTAACAAAGGAGTGTCGTGTACCAGGTACGAGGGAAAAAATCTGCGCAACGACCGATTAGACATCAGCCAATGACGCGTGAACTATTAAATAGCGGATTCGAACTAGACCTCGGATAAGGATAGGATATTTGAATAGTTCAATGTTCGTGTATCTTATGGTCACTCGAATACGACAAATAAACTTCGCATATTATCTACTATTTAATTACCATTGTTTTCTCATAGAGTCTCGAATTTTTGGTTACTGAAGCAAATTCGATCGACTATTCGATGACTAACGATTAATGTATAATAAATTGTCACGATTAGCGAAATAATTAGCGATTGCAGATCGCGAAAGTAATCCAAAGATGTGGATCATTCGCCTCGCGCGATCTGAACGATTGTAAGAAATGATCTCTACCTCCAGCGCGGTCATTAACCCCTGTAACACGTTTTTTCTACCCAGACGTGACGTTCATATTAATGAGAATTGCATCAGAACCGCTACTGCGTCAGAAGAAATTGGTAAAGTGATCTTCTCTAAGCTAACTAAAAACGAATTCGAGGCTTTGCCATGTAAGTTAGCCGATCTTGGACACGTACAGTTTTATTACTCGCGCGTACGAATACAAGAAAGCTCGTTGTATGCATACACATACGCGCGTACGCGTTCTTGTTAAACGGGATGATTCCGTGCCTCGTATACCGATTAGTCGTGACCGAGAAGTCGTCGATGCAACCATAAACGCCAGTGGTATGCTTCGACGATAAGTGAACTGTATATTAATCGGCACCACCGGTGCACGGGTCGCGAAATACCGAACTCTATCTATTTATACCCCAAGATCAGTACACACGTGCACGTATGAAGGAAAAATCGCTTATTTATTTCTGTTTATAAACATCATTGAGCCGACTTACGTAGATCGTATTTATCATAATAGTTTTACAAACATCCTCGTGCTTTGCCGTTAACCAACTGCATCTTTCAGTATCTACCTATTTTTAACTCGCTCGCGTCTATTTTTCTTTGGACGTTTTTTTCTGTTTTTGTCCCCCTTGTTTACGTTGTCTTGACTACTTGTCTCTAGTTTATTATGTTGTCTACGGGGGAGTTGAATAAATATTCACAGTACTCTTAGATTTGATCAAACACGGAGTAGCGAATAATTTTATCTTACAAAAGGGGCGACAGAAGGTTAATAATTTCTACTTTGGTTCCAAGGCTGCTTTATCGACTCGATCGCGCGTTACCCGCTATTATGGCTCTGTATTATCGTCAACTGGTTTAAAGGTCGGTGAAATTATATACCTTGTATAATTAAATACGATACGCGTTATCTACCGGAAGTCTGTTGATAGACGTTTCAATTGCAATGTCTACCTACCGTAACTATTAACTGTATCGTTCATAGTTAAACACGTTTACCAATTACCTATTCGTGCATCGATTATGATTATCGAGGTACGCCATTCGTCGTAATCGTATTTCCAATCGTACCACCGTCCGGCACGTCGCCACTTGACCAGAGATATCGTGGGTTGCTTATGAATGAAACCAGTCGTAGTAGTAGCCCCCTCTATCTCGTCTTAGCGACCCTACCACTTATGCTCGTTGCTTATACACAACTACACGCTGGAATTCATTCCCCGAGCACGTGGGCCGTGTGGAATTACAAATGCAATTTTGGTCGACGTTCTCTAATGCACGTTCCCAAACAAATGCGCGCGTTTGTCGACCTCGCCTCGTGAAAAATAAATCATTAGAAGCAGGCGGGTCAGGGCTGTGTCGAGTGCTCGCGTATCCCTTTGGCTAGATGTGGCCACTATTTTATTGTACCATATCGATGCTAACTGTTGCGACAAAGTATTGCTACCATTTTGGTACCGATAGGCAACAGAGGGATGTGTACTCACATCTTCTCGTGGTTTAAGCACAACACGGTGCTGAGCAACGCGGCCAGCACGAGAAGCAGTATCGTGGGCACGAAGATCGTGGTGACGATTTCGTTGAAGTAACTTCTAGTAGGAATGCTGGCTTTCGTCGACCTGGCCCACCGCCACTCCGTGTGCTCGGAAATTCCAGGCAAACCAATCACGTTCACGCTGGGCCCTTGGCTCGCCCAGCTCTCGTGCTGCAAACTCTGCTGCTCTTGCTCCAGCTGAATGGAACATCAGCATCGTTAGAAAAATCTTATAGCTAAGACTTTACTCCAAGGATAGACGAATTTTGCACGTTTTTTAAACGAGCCACATACCAATTTGAAGGAACACCAGTCCAAGGCGAATTCCGCCTCCCTGAAGAGCCTCTCTACGCTGGTACGCTTGAAATCTCGTGGACAAGAAGACAATTTCCACAGTGGCTTCACCTCTTCTTGCAGTTCGTTCAGCTCTTGCGAGAACGGTAACGAACTTCCTAGCCTCACAACGACTCTGTTGCACAAAAAAAGATACATACACGTGGCTCGTACCAGCGATCATTTTCCCACGTTTTTGCGCGTGCTATCCAAGGAGGATAATACTACGTTAAACTAATTTTACGTTCCGAGAAAAATGCAGCACGTGACTTCCTGAAGAGGAATGCGTATTTCTTCAACGATTCGGATAAAGTTTTGAAATATATTTATGTTCGTATCTGTATACCCTCGCGATATGTTATCATTACACGTTACCTTGTCTATCGCTAATTTTACCAAGTGCGTTATACTTTAATAACATTGAAAGTTGTAATTGTCTCGTAGAAAGGCCTTCCCGACGCGTGGCCTCGAAATGGTACCAGGAAATGAGTTTATTTTTGCGCTGTTGAAAGAACTAAATGAGATCCTCTATTTTCGTCCGTGGATAGCAAACACGACGCGTAACGAATTCACTCGTGACGGACAATGAGCGTTTGCTCCAGACACGGTTTTCTTCGACGACATCGTGCGCTCCCGTAGTAGAAGAATTACCTGTACTAGTCGGAATGCCTGTGGGATCTGGCTACGTGCAACGCGACACGTCGTGTCCAGCTTTCAAGTTGCGTCATTGCTTTCCCGCTCGTGCATTATTCTCCGTATCTCGACCGAATATTCAGGAGAATTCCCACGCGTCTTTTCCGCTTTCCTCAATCGACTAGCGCAACGGTTTTCGACGTTTTTAAGGTCGCGACATAGTTTAAGAAACGACTGGTTTTTTTTTGAGACTGTTGTCATCTATGTCGTTAAGAATCATTGGACTAAGGCCTCGAGATGCGTTCTTTACGGTAGCCTATTCTTCCGTACGAGTTATTCTTCTACCTGAGAGCTAAAATTATACGCTGCTCGTCCATGGAGAATTTTTCTAACGGTAAACCACGATTGCAAAACAGCTGAGCAGGCTCTATCTTGATAATTAGATAGACCGATTGTCATTCTCATCGAGTCACTTCGCAGCTATGCAGGATGCGTCAGCCGAAAGGTAAGTCCTGACTGTTCACGTGCTTCAGTCATCGCGAGATCAATTCCTATTTTTCTGCGTCATTGATGACAAGGATTCCCTCGAAAATTTCACGTCTATCGAATAATACCCGCTCGAAACGTACGTCAACGTCTTGACGCGGAAAGAGCATCTCGAGTTATCGATAGCTCACTCGTTACGCCCACGCTACTTCCCGGAAATACGGGTCGCAACACCTTTCACAATTAAATTGCCACTTTCGTGCGCAATGCACCGTCTTCGTTCTGTTTACACGATAACGAAAATAGATAAGCCAATCTTGTCGGATAATCGCGATATCTGTTCAAGAGCCAGCAGTATGTTTCTCGACGATGTTGCCTCAGTTCTCGTTTCATGTGCAAAGCGAATCATCGTCGAGTGTCGCAACAAACATTCGTTCGATAAGTGTTTCGAGTGGTTGTTCACATTACTTCATGAATCTAGTGCTGGTTAGTTGAAAAATTTCTGAGAGAGAATATGCATCGACGAGATATTGTCAAAGAAAAACTTTCATCGGCATTAGTCGACTAATGCGTCGGGATGCGGTGACGTCTGAGGTTGAGAGTGCGAGATAACCGAGCACCAGGCCAAGCCGGAAGCCATTCAGTCGGTCAACTCGTCAGACCGCGCCGACGATGTCGCGCTTACGTTACCAATCTACTTACATATGCGCAGTCTACGCGACATTAAGGCGTTATAAATTTTTCTACACTGAATTTAGCTTTATGAATAAAGCGTCGAGATTTACAAAATGACGCCGCTTCAAGAAAAAGTCTCAATTTTACGATCATCGTTCGACGGGAGACAGACAAAATTACAGTGAAATGATACTGCATATTTTAGTTGTGCCATTAAATGATTACTCGGATGGGTTTTCATTCGTTCGACACGCGATGTAGCATCATTCTATAATGTATTTCTCCTTCTCTCCCTCTCTCTTCTCTTTTTCTTACTCTACATCATTGTATTACTTCCTTTTGTATTGTTTTCAAGGCTAGATTGGCAACAGTATATAGCTGTACCTCGTCTGCATGCCGAACGTACGCTTATTTCTTACGTCTACATATTAATTTTCCGTGACTTTGCTCGATATTAAAACGCTCACAATCTTCGTAGTATCGCAATCCTTATTAACTCGAAATTTACTAGTAACGAATAAACAGTTTATTTTTTATCTTCGACTTTTATCCACATCGTTGGTTCGCAGAGTAGCAGGTGTGTTTCGTAACCGCGAGATGTGAAAACCATTCTTCCTGCAGACGATTCTATTCCGCAACCAACACAATCTGCTAGCATCGTCGCACAGGAAGGAAGTCTTCCTACGCGTGGCGCGCGTCCCAGTATGATTTCGCGATCGCGGCTGAAGGTTGCTTCTGCGCGTCTATGACGCGTGCAAACGTTTGCGAGAAATCGTTAACAAGTGAAAGAAGAACGGTCTGAAAACGACTATTGTGCGTCTCGTGGCGATAGGGAACGCGCGAATCATTCCGCCAGAAATACACACCTATTCCTCGGTAGCAGCGCGAGTAATGGGATTACTCATCCGTGAACCGTGTCAGTGATAGTGCATGAAATGATACCGAATTGGCGGGAAAGTGACGCAGAAAATTCGCGGAAATCTTCGTCGATTCAATGAAGATGACACGATCCACGAAACTAGCGCATACAATGAAAGACACGGCGCAGACGTCGGTAAGTTTAGCATGAATCTATTTATCACGATGATTTATACATAAGTCGAGGAGCAAAAGTACAAGTGAAATCTCGAGTTGATGCTCGTGTCTCGCGGACGCTTTTGTATTTTACGCTGTAAGGAACGTGGTCTTTTAAAACTTGTATAACTTCTCGAGAATCGCGTCGCTTCAACAGAGTAGCTTCTAGACAAATGGAGTCAACGTCTCGTCAGGATACCTTGATATAAACATGAAAGATAATGAATCGAATCGGAGAAGATAGAATATCGAATTGTATATAATAGTCACCTTGCGTAATGATTATTATTATCATAATTTGAGGGGGTTACATAATGAACAACTGAAAAAGCGAATAACCAAAGATGGATGATCTGTCGAACGTTTCCGCAGATTCCTATCTCTAATGACGTATGTACGCATTTTAAAGTCGCGGACTGAAAGATTTTGCTTTCGTCGAACGTTAGTTTAGCGTCACGCTGCTGTAATGCGCGTCGTAAAAAGCTATCAAGATTGTTTAACATTGCGTTAATTAAGCAATGTTCGAAACGGGAGTTCTGCTGGAAGCCAATAATACTTCTGAATTCATTCTACAATTCGTTAGCTTCTACTTTCCAATGAATTGACTCTCGTTAACGTTTAATGCAACTATTAATTTTCTATTATTAATTTATCGATTCAATTACAATAAAAAAATGTAATTATTTTTCCATGAATGATTGATGAATTAATCATACCCGACGGTTGCATACGGTTTCTATACTTGTATTATTCATTATTTGATCATACTCAATCGATGCCTCGATCACACGACGATATAAAAATTGCTCACGAAAACCAATGATACCACACTTTTCGTTTCTACGATAATCGTAATTAGTAATCGGATCACATTTTACTCGACTCGACTCTATAATCGTCCATGTCGCACGATATCGCGCGACTCCGTGCATAAGAAGTGGTAATTATCGATTTCAAAAAAATCGGAGGATGCGTGGGACGCGCGTCACGGCGTTGTTTTCCGTTCATCGGACGATTAATGCGTCAGCGATATCGAAGAAAACACGTTGAATCTCATCGAGTATTGCAATTATTATAATAATGCTAACGGAACCACGTTTTCGATACAAACTCTAGCTTTCCCTAATATAACTGCAAAGAAATTCTAACGTTTTTGGTTCATCTTTCGTCTCTCTTTGGCAATACTTGGAATATTAATCGAATGTTATTAACGAGCTACACGCGGACGAGAAACACGTCATACGCTCCACCCACGTGGGAGAGTCTTATGACACTCTTCTTGCGCGGTTGTAATAGTAGCAATGTATCGAAGGCAAATAACGTAAGAGAATTAGCTGAAAACGTTCTAATTTGTTTCAGCTGATACGAGTATATCTAGATCAATTGCGTTACTCCTGTATTATCTATTGCTTCTCTATTGTTGAAGAGAATCTCAAACTAGGAGACTCACCCTTCACCCTCGCTCGGTTTCAGAGGAAGGCGAGCACCCAGCTCGATGGCGGACGCGAGGAATGTCACGTACAGATCCGTAGCGTTTTTCCACAGCTTTTTCCTGTAAAAATCAATATTTATTATAAACTTATTCGAAACTTTTCTCTAAATAAAAATCGCTCGAGGCTACACCTTCCTTGGCGTTTATCGACAAACCTAAATATATCGAGAAGCTTCTCGGTTCTGTTGCGGTCGAACATGTCCTCCACGTTCAGATTATCGATTTTCAGATGAACCTCGTATTTGGTCAGATTCTCCTTCTCGAGGACGTTCATATCGAGGACTTTGTGTCTCGTTTCGTACGTGTGCTTGTTCAGGCCCACGATCTCCAGCTGAAACTCTCACCGTTGATGCGTTATCGGCGTGTTTTCTCGAGCAAAGAAAGGAACATGCTCGGTGACGCATTATACTCGTAAGACGCGATAGAAAATGAAACTCTTTTAAAGAAAACGAGTAGGTCTACGATAGACGTTTTCTCTGCCTATGAGATGATGCACCACAGAGAGCTAATTACAAACTTCGATCACCTGAAAGTATTTCTGATCCTTGGGGGCGACCCCATACAGAAATCCGCGATGATCTCGTTTGCTGTACGTGTAGTGGATCCACGAGGGAAGGTCGGGCGCGTTCAGCAGCGAAGGTTGATACGAAAACTGATCGGATCTTCCTGGAAACGGAAAAAGTCATCGGCGTTATTACTGGAACAAAATATCCCCTATCTCGCGTACTCGATAATAGCCGAGAAATTAAATTCGAAATTTTATTGCTCGCTCGGGATATCCGTGGGTCAAAGTCCCCACCGTCCGATTAATTGGATTCTGGGTAAACACGAGCGTGCAATCGCTATGATTTCACCGTGTTCAGAGAAAGACGGTCCCGTCGATTCATAACTGGTCATCGAGCAGAATCGTAACGCGCGCGGCACTTGGCGCCTCGTTCACGATTGCTCCGGGGTGACGTCGCGCTAGAAAGTACCGATGCACGTGACACGTGACACAACGTCAGCTGTGAAGCCGATACAACGACGCTCGAGGAACGGACGGGTCCGTCGATTGCTATTCGAGGCGCAACGCGAATGACGCGCGCGGCGATACATACGCTTTAATTTGGACACGGTGAATTCGATTAACGGGCGACAATTGAAAACGCCTATTATTCAACCGCCATTCACGCGTTCGCGAACTGGATTTATAGAATTTAAAGAATATTACGAGATCATTGCTGGGCCGTGTTTCTGCACGTAACGTTCTTTTTAAGCGAGCACTCATTCGCGTTTCGACTTACTTACGAGTCTTGACTCATCCTGAAAATTCATTTTATAATATCGAATGTGGGCGCGGAATACTATTCTTATTCTATGTCGATCGCGTCTGACTGTTCAACCCGTACATATTACAGATAGAGGAAGGGAGATATAGGCCTGGCTATAAGTGAAACCCGCGGCACCTTATCTATCTCTGTGCTTTTATTAATATGAACTGTACACGTATTTGTTAAAAGTATGAACGATAATCATTAGACCGCGGATCTTTATGCATTTATAGGAAATTTGAATGTGCAAGACCCTACAGAATGCAAACAATATGCAAGAATATAAAAAAAAAAATTGAAAGTAAAGTTCATGTTATAGTATTTACAGAATAAAATAAATTCCTATTTATTAGGTTGTCCCGAAAGTTTCTTTCGCGAGTTGCATCCAATTATTTTATGTGATCGTGTTTCTATAAATAGACGATCTAATTTCATAGATATTCATGTCGTAACAGTAATGGAGCAAAATGAATCGTGCACGATTCAGTAATGTAACATAAAACATAAAATATTGTGCATGTATTACTTATTAATAAAGCGAAAGAAGCTTTTGGGGCAACCTAATAGTTCGAATTTTTGCATAAAGATCCGCAGTCTAATAATCACTTATCATCGCGATAAAAATGATATAAGAAGGTGTTGCCATTGAATTTTTCTTAAACATCAGTATCATTTAGGATAGCCACCGAAACGTTTTTCTTCTCAATTCGTTCTCTATCTCTGGGTACAATTTAGAGTGACGCGAGTCAGTCATTGTTCGTTCCGTCGGGTTCCCTTACCGTCGCCGCTGCTCCAGTCGAAAGTCTCTGGCCTGATGGGAATGACGAACACCTCCGTCGTTAAGATGCTCTCGGCGCTCGCGAAGGCCACCGCCAATGACAATAACGCTACGCCCGGGAGCATGATCGCGTAGCGTGTCTGAAAAGTGTCAACAAACGCCCTGCTGTTAAAGGCCCGCCGAACGAAACGATTCTCGTCAGAAATTCGTCCGCGATTCGCGATCAGGAACCTCTCCCAGGCCCGCCACGCGCAATCGTAACACCATCGATCCTCGCGACTTGGGAATTTCTAAACTTCGCGCGCAACAGCTGGCCAATTGACAGGGAACGTCGAGAAAAATAATTCTTCTACGATATTTACCCTTTGCGAGCCAGATTTTCTGACTTCGGTACAGTTCTGTCGAGTCTCACTCGACATAGGACAGCAAAGGGTTAACGACGGTTGATATCAATCCCACGAATAACAATGAAACGTTATGACAAGATTGTAGTAGGTAGACCGAAAGTTCCACTCAATTATTCGATGTGGTCGTGTTTATATAAATAGACAATCTAATTTCATAGATATTCATGTTGTAACAGTGATGTAGCAAAATGAATCGTGCACGATTCAGTAATGTAACATAAAACATAAACTATTGTGCATGTATTACTTATTAATAAAGCGAGAGAAAGTTTTGGGACAACCTAATATTAGGTAAACCGAAAAGTAATGTCGTTTCTTTTACATTAAATTCAAACTTTCCAATAAATTTCTATCTTTAATTCACTATACAATCGTCTTCATTGTCAGCAGCCTTTTGTCGCCTACTGTGCAAATTTTCAATGCCAGAAAAATCAATGAACTGATAAATGATAAACAAGTATTTCAGATGGCAAAAACGACATTATTTTCCAGTCCACCTAATAGAAGAAACGATCAAGTTAGGACAGGCGATGAAACGAAAGAGGCTCGAAATAAAACACTGTGGTTCTACGTGTAGAAACAAGATAGAAATCGAGAATTACGAAATTGCGTACGAGGCTTTGTGTTCGAGTAATTAATTGTTGAAAATGAGCGCGAGAGACGTCGGAAGTGGGGACCGATACTACTGGCGGTCAGCTGACGTCTGACGTTTGTGCGTCGCTGGTAACATGAGTCCCTTATGACGCTTTGGCAACTAGTTCCATAGATACAAAGCCTTGAACG